CTTGGGACCCCCTGCAGGTGGGCGAGGTGTGGGGGGGCTGGGTCCTGGGGACGCCCCTGTGGGTGAGTGAGGTGTGGGGGGGCTGGGTCCGTGGGGACGGCCCCTGTGGGTGAGTGAGGTGTGGGGGGGGCTGGGTCCTGGGGGACCCCCTGCGGGTAGCAGGGGGCTGGCATACCCCCCGTGTCAATGGAGTCCCAGCCTCTTGATCCCCCACAAGAGGATTTTCCCCCCAGGCACCCTCTGCCCCCCAAGGAGGTGAGCTATGGGGCAGGGTGGCGAGGGGCTGTGGGGCAGGAGTCAGTGGGGTTCTATGGGGCAGACTGGTGGGAAGTGGGGGCAGGCGTCAGTGGGGGAGGGGCTGTGGGGCAGGGTGGCGACATGCTGTGGGGCAGGCGTCAGTGGGGAAGGGGCTGTGGGGCAGGCTGGTGGGAACTGGGGCAGGAGGGCGCTGCGGGTGCCAGACTGGCGCTAGGGCACGTGGCGGGGGGACCCCACGGCCAGCGCAGACCCAGCCCCCTCCTGCCCCCCAGGGCTGCGGCGGGACGAGGATGCTGTGGGGCCGGGGGCTGCTGGTGCTGTGTGTGGGCCTGGCGCTGGCCAAGCCGCCCCCCGAGAAGCGGGACCGGGTGCACCACGGGCAGGAGCTGAGTGACCACCCGCACGACGACCGCCAGGGCTTCCAGTACGACCACGAGGCCTTCCTGGGCAAGGAGCAAGCCAAGACCTTCGACCAGCTCACGCCCGAGGAGAGCCGGGAGCGCCTGGGGTGAGCCAGAGAACCCCGGAGTCCGGGTCCCACCCGCCTCCCAGAGGTGGGAGAGAACCCAGGTGTCCTGGCTCCCAGCCCCGCCTCCCAGCTCTAACCACTAGACCCCACTGCCCTCCCAGAGCCGGGGAGAGAACCCAGGAGTCCTGGCTCCCAGCCCCGCCCCCCCAGCTCTAACCACTGGACCCCACTGCCCTCCCAGAGCCGGGGAGAGAACCCAGGAGTCCTGGCTCCCAGCCCCCCCAGCTCTAACCGACCAGCCCCCA